TCATTTCCGAATATACATACATACAAAGAGAGCGCGTTACACACTCACTCCACTCGATCCGTAATGAGTTTTTTTTTAATTCTTATATTTATTTATCAATATTGATGAGACTTCATAAAGAGTTATATTCGTTTGGAATATGCAAATAATTAATAACGTCTTATTTTATACTGTATTGGTTTTAAAGACATCAAATTACAAACTAACACACACAATTAAAAGTTGAGCTCAAGGGTTAAAAAAGGAAAAAAAAATCCTTGAATATATAAACGATCGTTAACTTAAAGGTTTATATATTTTCTCCAGAGAAGGGAGAAATTAAACTATTATATAAAAAGGAGTTATGTGGAAGTATTTCTCTTCTATTGTCATTAAAGTATAGACGAGTGTTTCTGACGAATTAGGAAATAATACTTAGCAGAGTAAGAAACCATGTCACTTAAGGAACACCATAGTCTCCGATCAAATAAGAAATGCAAGGCATAGCAAACAAAAGAAAGCAAGAAATGGGAGTGATGAGTGAAAGTTGAAGTTGGTCAAGCTCCCATTATGAATTTCTAACAATTTCACATACACTAACCTCATCGCCTGCGATTCCCAATTTGTCCGCTCTGGCTTTTCTGACGTCCTCCCTGACCGTTTCATGCACAGAACCCCCTCACGTACACCTGTAGAATACTTTTCTTTGATAAAGACGTCTACTCTGACATTTACTGATTTTACTTTATAAATCCTTATACAATCCATTTAAAAACTGAGAGGACGACGCATGGCGAGATTGAGATAGTGGAAGAGAACGATGGATCCAATTGAGGACGAAGCACTGGCCTCAAAGTGACAGCTAGACACGTGTATGGATATGGTAATCTGAAATGCATGTCTTAGCTTGTATTGAAAACTGAGGCAACATTTGAAGGATATATAAAGTTCAGCTCGATCGATCGATATTGGCAATTCCAATTGTGATTTGTGAACACGTCTCTTTCAACACTACTTGCTTACTCTTGCAATTTATTATTAATCCAATCACATCATTTCACCTAATATCGTTTCCTTGAATCGCTTTGTCGTGTGTATAACAGTCTTCACTTTGTTTTCCTTTATTTAAGGTCACCCCATCATCTTTAATTTCTCATCACTTCATCCATGCGTAATATTTTAAATACTCGAACTTTCTAGGCCACCCTGGACCCCTCTTTCGTCTTTGCCCTTTTTTTTTTGGTTATTATGTTCTCTGTCTTCATGCTCACATTCTTTAATTAAACTGCAAAATATGACACATGCGCTTTCGATCTAAATTAAAATTAAAAATTGTCTCTTTATAATCTGTTAGGAGATAAAAGAAAAACACAGGGCTATATAAAATTGTGGGAAACAAAGTAATCAAACAAGTTAAAATGAATTGACCCAAAAAAAACAAGTTAAAATAAAGAATTAATTAACATAGCCCAGGCCGGGAAGGTTGGGAGGATAATATAATGATGATATGGAGGAAGGGATTTTTTTTTTTTAAATGTCATATCTAACTCTTTTTCACAAGAAAATAGGTCCCCTGCACAAATATTTTTTTTTTTTTTGCTTTAACCATACGAGAATTTGAGCTGGGAGAAGCTCGACCCCTCGCGTTAAAAAGGAAAGGATCGCATGCCGCTAGAGTTACAAGCTTTTGGGGAAGTGGAAAAGGGCTATAATGATGGGAAGGAGGACGAATCCAAATTGAATTGCAAAAATCACACATTTCTCACAATTTCTCGCATATAAAAGCTTCTTGCTGCTCTCGCTTGTCATTGCGAGTCGTTGCGTACGTGTGAGAGAGAAAGAGGGTCAGCAGATATTTTTTTTAAAAATATATTATTTTATATAACATTCTTAAATTAATTATTAATACTGATCATTAGTCGTCCGAAGCAGCAGTTGCAGTATCGAATGTCATAGATGACAAGAAACAACAACAATAATAATAGAAAAAAGGAGTCAAAGTCCTCAAATGACACATTTTCGGTGTCCCGCCTCACATTGTTGCTGCTCAGCACTACTCTAGTGCAGTAGTGCTATATATGTTTCACATGCATAGTGTTAAAGAAAACAAACCACGGCAAAAAAAGATAATTAAGATGATAAAAATAGAACATGCAGATCGAATAAGACAAATAAAATATATTTCACGTGGTATAAAAATACGCAAACATGTCATTTGTTCATACGTTTACCAGTCGAGTAAAAATAATACACAATCTGACCATATATGAAAATATATAATAATTAAAAATATGATATATGTTGTGTAAATCTCATTCTCAAGTGGTAAATATAAACAAAACACTTCACCGCGATGCTACAATATATACATAAATTAATCATAAAATTATGTTATTTTGACTTTTTTTTTCCTTTTTTCATCCCAATTATTTAGGGCATATCGGGTTTAGACTTTTGTTTTAATCTTCCTAAATGCAAAGATCAGCGCCAGAAATAAACCACACGATTGTATAAACATGTTGAAAAGATCTATATCAAATTATCAATGATGATAGATGCAATAAAAAGTGTACAGATGTGCTCTCATAACTTCAGAAGTAACGTTTGTTCGTAAACACTCGCTCACGTGTGGAAATTGTTTCATCAACGGCTGGGCAGTATATATAGGTGGGACAGGTTAATTCAACTCATTCCAATCTTAACGAATGTCTTTTAATTAAGTTAGTTCACAGTCAAATCTACCGACCTTAAGTTTGGTCGAACTCACTTATGTCCTGCGATATGTTACAGGTTTCCATTGACCTCAAAGCTGAATGATCTTCTTTCTCTGCAAAAGGCATCCAAAAAAGACACACGTGAATTCCCTTTTTAAGCATATGCAGTAAAATCAAAGAATTTAATTTTATAATGAGTACTTTTAAGGATGATCTTGTGACTGATCCCGGTAATTTATAGTGTTTAAAGGAACATAATTGAATCTTCACAAGATCACAATTAATTTATAGTTAAGGATCTTGTTACAATTACCCCGTCTAATCCGAAATATAAGGATTTTTTCTTAGTTAATCTTAATTTAAAATATAAGTAACAAACAATTTCTTTCCATTTTATCCTTCAATGATCCCTCATATTTATTAACTAGGATTCATGCATTTGTGAATTTATAATCTTTTTTTTTACTTATCATAAGTTGATACTAAAGATAAAAAGAAAAAAATAATATATACTTTTATAAGAATTATGATTTTATTAATATGCAAATTATTATTAAAACGTACTTATATTTTGTAGTATTCCCTCAAAGCTACAATATAAAGCATTGGCAAATATTTTAAAATTTTGAAAAATGTTAGTTGAAACTTAAATTTATTAAAAAAATATATAGTTGAAAATTAAAATTAAAAAATATATACTCAAGATAATTAAAATTTTAATACATTATTTTTTTAAAAAAATAATAAATAAATAAAGTAAGAGTATAGTTAAAAATCAATTATAAAAATTATTTAACACTCCCTTCGGTTTGCATTATAAATTTATTTTTAGAAGGTATCCCTAATCCACAATACTGGTCAGATGAGAATTTTCTATTTCAAAATAAAATTCTAAAAATATCCATCCCTTTTACATTGTTCACTGTCAGATGAAGATTTCTCACTTTTCATGAGGACTTCTCATGAGAGAAAATTACTTAAAAATAATATTATATTATTTAAATTATTTTTAGTTTTTTATTCGAGGGTTAATTTTAAAATTTTATTTATAATTATTTTTTATATTATTATTGTATTGATATTGATAAAGTTAATAAATATAATTTATAAATAAGATTGGAGGGAGTACCTTATATTTTGAATGAAGCAAATCCTCTATGATATACTCCCACTGATCCTATTTATAAGTTATTTCTACCAATCTCATCAATATCAATACAATAAAAGTACAAGGAATAAAAGTAAGTAAAATTTCAAACATGTCCCTATATAATAAATCTAAAAAGTAATGTCCTGTTTTTTTCTCTCTCTCATGAAGGGTAATTTTGAAAATATTTCTCAAATATTACTTAAAAAGACGCACTATGATTTATAAATGAGATCAAATATACTTTTTAAAATGGGACTTATAAATAAGACTGGAGGGAGTATTATCATCCCGAGGAAGTACTTCTTTTCTTTCTCTGCCCCCTCCCCTTCTTAATTACCACTCACGATCTAACCCCTAGACCAGCTGAGTTAGGAACAAGAGGATTTATGATTATTTAATTTTCGGATGAAAATTTATGATTAATTTTAATAATTCAACCACTACTGCGAAAAATACCACCCTGTTCATGACAAACGCGTTCCACAGAAGGCGAAAAAAACATACCAGTACTCGGTAGGTTATAAATAGAAGCGACAATCCGATATGGCCGAGTCCATGTGAAACCGCCTAACGTTAATTTTTTCATTGGCGGATTTTGGTTCTCACGGGTGACGGTTCCGTTAGAGCAGCCGAGCAGGAACGCGTGGATCTCCAGTGGTTCCGTTAGGGGGCCGATGTGGAAGTGCGATCCGCGTAGGCAAAGTGGGGCCCGCTTGCTGCGTCATTGCGTGGGCCCTAGTGAATTGTTCGAGACGTTGACCTTTTGCCCTTTTTACATTGGGAAGTAGATCGACGGTTCAGGAGAGCGTGTCAGTGCGATCTGTACGCCACCGGCGGATTATACCTTTTACGAAAGACAAAGATATAATGCAGTTGCGATGCAGACCAGCTCGCACCAAATCGTTGAAGTGCAGCCACCACGCGCCACGTCAGCGTAACAATGTCTGATAAAAATAAAACGAGTGAAAGGCAGTTCAGCGTAAAGCCGAAAGAGTTCCTGTGCCGGTGTTTTTTTTTTTTTTTTAATACAACTGAGCCGGTGATATTAAACCAACTCGGTAGCTGATTATACCCTTCGTATTTTGGAAATGACAGAAAACTCCTATGTCTTTTCCGTGGCGTCTCTTGATTAGCGAGTATAAAAATTTTATTACAATTCATGCTCATCTCATGTAAACCCTGAAAACATTAAAGCACCAAGAACATCGCCCGGAACTTCAGAAGTGCCCTCTCCCCCCCTGTTTCTTCCCTCTCTTTTCTTGGTCCTTGACTCTCGCTTGCCGGTGTTTCCATGCTTTGGCCTCTGTTCTAGGCTCTGTTTTCTTGTTGTAACTGGGACTAAGAGGGATTATGGGTTGCTTTTGTTTCTTAAAGAAATCAAGCAGAAAATCGCAGGCTAACAACTATAGCCAGAGCGCAAAGCCGAACAATCACACAGGTGCTGGTTAGTTTTTTCGATGATCTTGATTTTATTTACTTGATTGCTCGGATAAAACGCATTTTGCCAAGCCAGTGAACAAACTGATTACCCAGTCTCTGTGATTACGGCGACTTTTTTTTTTCCTTGCTTCCTGAGTAATATACTTTTTCCTTTTCTCTGGACACGGGTATGTCCTGAACTGATCAATGTTCATTCTGTCCGGCGCGTCGTATGCCGTGTCTCACATTTTCCCCCCTACGCAAATCAAATGCTCAACCTTTCTTTTAGTTTGGTGGAATGATTCCCAGGAAAAAACATATTTTATTTTTTTGGAAATGGAAAAAAAAAATTTCTTGGTTCTTGTGTAATTGTGTTCAATATCAAGATTAATAGTGGTCGTTAAATATTTGTGGTTAAGGTTTTCCAGTTTCTTTTTTTTCATAAGTTGCATTACTTGGATGCCTAATGTCTTGCCTAATCCCTGTACCTTGGGCGTATTTTGCATTCGTCACAGATACGGTGACAGTTGATTTGAATGTGAATGGGACCAAGGAAGCTCATTCTAAGGATGATCAACTTTCTCTGGACGCGAAGAGATTGAATTTAACGGAAAATGGAGACACCACTGGTAGCACGGCGCAGACTTTTACTTTTGATGAACTTGCAGCAGCAACAGGAAATTTTAGGTCAGACTGCTTTTTGGGAGAAGGAGGATTTGGCAAGGTTTACAAGGGGCATTTGGAGAGGATAAACCAGGTTGGTTTGGAAATGAACAAAGTTAAAATTACTGAAATATTAATCTGGTCCAGCTATTCTAATATATTGTGTTTTATGCTCTTGTTCATCATGTTACTGTACACATGTATGGTTTCTGTCGATTAATATTTGTTATTGTTTATACAGGTTGTGGCTATAAAGCAACTTGACCCTAATGGACTTCAAGGAATTCGGGAATTTGTAGTTGAAGTGTTGACACTTGGTCAAGCAGACCACCCTAATCTTGTGAAATTAATTGGGTTTTGTGCTGATGGAGATCAAAGACTATTGGTCTATGAGTACATGCCATTAGGATCTTTGGAGAACCACTTGCATGGTATAGACTATGATCTTAATATCTCATTTTTCTTCAGATAGAATGTACACTCATCAGCACATCTTTTAAAAATCACCATTGCTTATCTTGATATCCTCCATTCCACCCAGATCTTCCGCCCGGTAGGAAACCACTTGATTGGAATACAAGAATGAAAATAGCAGCTGGAGCTGCTAAGGGCTTGGAGTATTTACATGAGAAAATGAAGCCCCCTGTGATATACCGTGATTTGAAATGCTCAAACATTTTATTAGGCGAGGGATATCATCCCAAGTTATCTGATTTTGGCCTGGCCAAAGTAGGCCCAAGTGGCGATAAGACACATGTTTCAACAAGGGTTATGGGCACATATGGGTACTGTGCTCCAGATTATGCAATGACGGGTCAGTTGACATTCAAGTCTGACATCTACAGCTTTGGAGTTGTTCTTTTGGAGCTCATCACAGGCCGGAAAGCCATTGATAATACTAGACTTGCCAAAGAACAAAACCTGGTTGCATGGGTACGTCTATGCTTACTTGTTTAGAGTTGCTGCTGAAGTCCATGTTAGTTGGCTTACTTTTGTAGATTTTTGCTTTTTTATTATGTTGTGGGCTTGAGGCTAAGAAATAGAATTGCAAGTGCAAATGCTTATAAATCTATGGCACTAGTTTTGATTCATATTACTTTACATATTATTAAAATGATACGAAGGATTGAGCTTTTAGTTGGCATTCAGTTGAAAGAAGCCAAAGGTGGAGGCTTTATATGTGCTTGCACTTCTCAACAATTACAGAGAAGATAGCCTACTTAATTGTTAATTGGTTGTATCTGATTGTTTCTGGCTGGATGTGAAATGCCTGAGGTTCACAATTTTCTGAAACTTGCTGATTGAATTGCCTGATCATTAATTTTCCATAAGGAAATTGCTGCTTTTCATTAAGCCCCTCCTCCCCACCATGGGTCTCCCAGAAAGAGAGGAAAATAACCTTGCAAAATTACTGAGAATCCCATTCCTGTGTCAATTTTTTTTTTTTTTTTGTGTGTTTGCCACTTGAATACAGCAGGTTCTTGTTGGATATCTTTCTTCTCTTGTGATCTCACTCTATTTGAAACCCAAGTGTCAATGTTGAACTTGGATGGTTGTGGCGCACTGTTTCCTAAATTTCATTCTTCGTGATGCAATACAGAAACATAACTTTTACTTTTTCTTTTAGTAAACATCTTCCAAAGTCTGTCTGGGTGATGAATGTAGCTTGGGGTGACTACGCTCATTGTTTATCTTGACGTGATATAGTTGATACCTGGATTCTTACGGCCCTGGTTTCTGGTGTATGTCTTGGAGTGTGCATAATACAGTCATTTGTTTCATTCTTTGTTAACTCTTATTATTCAGTTAATGCGAATTTTCTGTGGATGCACTTAGAATCGCAAGTCTTGTTTTGTCTATTTCTGAAAAAGAGTGATGTGAATTGACGGAAAATAATTAGTTTAGGTTTTGTGTGATGTTGTTTGCAGGCAAGGCCGTTATTCAAAGACCGGAGAAAATTCTCCCAGATGGTAGACCCTTTGCTTGAAGGTGAATATCCTGTGAGGGGTTTGTACCAAGCTCTAGCAATTGCTGCCATGTGTGTTCAAGAGCAGCCTAATATGCGGCCTGTCATAACCGACGTCGTTACCGCATTAAACTACCTTGCCTCGCAGAGATATGATCCCCAAACTCATCAAGTACAAAGCTCCAAAAGAAGGGATGATGATCAAACACATCTTGTTCGGAACGGTTCTGCCTCTGACAGATCTTCAGACTAAGAATATTCGTGCTTGTTCATATGTCACGCGCCTTGTCATCAATTTTTGCTTCATAGGAGATGACAAGGTGCTGTTACAATCTTTCGTTTTTTTTTTTATATATGTATAAAGAAAAATTTCTGCTATTTCTTTGGTGTACATGTGAGCTGGGCTTCCTTGTATTTAAGACGACTCTTTGTAGGATTTTTCTTTTGTCCATGTTATTATAATTTAGCCTCAGTCATAATAAATGACTTCCTTCATCTCTCATCTTGATCTCATTGGCGACTTAATCATGATCTAAAGTAGACTTCGTTGCAAGTTGTTGCCCCGAATGTCAGTCTTTATCCACGTGTTTAAGTTAAGCAGCTATATACATATAAAATTTAATTAGGGAAAAACTAACATAACTTGGGTTTAGTGCTTCATGTGATTAATCAAAATTCAAATTCCTATGAATTCTTACAAGGAGAAGTGTCCATATTTAACATATTTAATTGTTTTTAATAGAATGACACCTATATATTATTAGAGATAAAAGAAGTCTCAAATTTAAAAATTAAAAGATAAATTATGAATATATAAATTTTGAGATGCATTTAACCAAATAGCTTAAAAATAGATAGTTTATTTTATCAAAATAATTTAACTCATTTGGTTAAAAACATATCAAGATTTATATATTCATAATTTCTTGTCTAATTTCTAATGCTAGCCTAGGCTCTAATTTTATTTCTCCCAAAAACGGAAAAAAGGACAGTTTAGCAGAGGAGAGGCTTCACTCATGGATGAATAATGAAATTCCATCAAAAAAATGTTGAAGAAGGAAATTTATAGTTGGGGGTGTCAGCCATTTAACGTGGAGGTTCAGAAGATGTATACAAGTGACAGTTCCTAGGATGAGAAATATCGGCCCGTGAACATCGATAAACTCCCCCCATAGAATGGCCCTAACTATAAGAGATCACGTGTATTGCTATATATTTCCATGCAAATTGGTTACTAGAAAGTGTGGTCTTTTTCTATTTTTCATGTTCTTAATGACATGTGGATGCATTGTGATTGGATATATTTTCTTAAAAGTAAAATTATCAAGGTATCAAATGCCACCTAGTTATTTATACAATCTGCTGAAGAATGTAAACTATCTTCTTCTTCTGTTTTTTTTTTTTTTTTTTGGGGGGGATCAAACTGAGAATGTATACTGGTAAAAGTGGGGGCAGGATAACTACCATATTTACGCTTTGATCAATCACGTGCATTGCACGTTTATAACCAATCGCATGCGTTGGTCGCTTATAGCCAATTTCCCGGCCAAAAGGTTGTTGATCAGTCAGACGAGAGCAGGGAATCCCCCGAACCCCAAGCCTTAGAATTAACTAACAGAGGTCCTTCCATTCTTTCATTGCAAAACACCAAGATTTCACTCCTTCATCTTCTCTTGAATCTATGTGACGGCAATAGCATTGAGATGCAGCAAAGGACCTCAAGTTCAACTTCTCCCTGCTCCGGCGAGCACAGAGCCATCAACCTCGCTGATCCTCCACAAACAAAGCGAAGAAAAACCGACGGTGATGATACGTCCGGCCTTCCACTTTACGATCCTCGGAGCACCGATGGGAAGAGGGAGGTTTCCCCGTCACGATCGGCAGGGAAATGGCTTCACGCTATTCCTTTGATTCTGCTGCTTTGCCTTTTCCTCCTTTGGTTGAATTCTTTTCCGGGTACTAATTTCAACACAATTGTGCTTGTTATCCTCATATTATTTTCTTTTTCTTTTTCTTATTCTAAGTTGTTTTAACCTTCTCTCTCTTCTGTCAAGAGTGTTCCTCGTATTCAAATTATAGTTGCTAGTAGGTAATTTTTTTCTGCAGGATAATCACCTTCCATTTTTCGCAGTTATTCTTAGTTAATGTCTTTTATATCCTGGTTGTTCGATCGAAGATGAACTTGTGTAGCTCTCTTGGGTTTTATGATTATCATAAAATGACTGCTTATTTGGAATTATCTTACACTTTCTAACGAAATCTTTTCCATAAATTGTGTGGACTTTTGAAAACAGTGAATGTGACAGTTAGGGATGGCAGAATTACAGTCATACGTCAGATCGGTGCTCTGCTGCCTAACACTACACATATTGATCTCACAATATTAGCGGTGTCTGCGACATCAATCTCGTCACTTCCTCAAAAACTGTAATACCACAATGAAACGTCCTCGCAGTTGGTGATTGCGCCTAATTGAAACATCATCTTCTTCCAATATAAAAAGAGTCAGGGTCTGAAGTTTTACCGAATTTTTAGTCAATTCATGTCCGATAAGTTTGAGATGCTTTATCAAACGAGCTAGACAACAAACTTTGCTGAATCTTTGTTTCTTTGGAAGGATCTTGGTTCTGTTACCCTGGGTAAACTTGTTACGTAGAATACATGTCAAGACATCTAGCATTGTTGATATGCTTTGTTGAATTTACGCGGCGGAGAGGGGAAAATATACGCAGAAGATGGCAACATTGTAGCTTGTATTTCATGGTCAGTAAAAATATGTCAACTTATGTTCTGTGGAATTTCTGATGCAATCGTAGCCTTAGGATTTAGGAATATGACTCGAAGCTTGTTCTATTGCCATGCGCCTTGAATAATAAACAGTATGTACCTTTCAATGCTACAATTCAGCAACTTCACCCTCTCGACAATTGTCCACCCATATGTACATGGTTGACCTTCTATGTGATGGCAGAATTCTACAACAGTCCCTCCTTGGCGACTGCAAAGGAAGTTTATTAAATATGAACAATAAACGTATCCAAGTTAGTGCAATACAGTGGAGACAACTTTGGATAATGTATATAAAGCATGCGCTCTGTATATATTAACACAAAATTAAAACATTCTATCTCATTTGAATCACTGAGAATCCGTACCTTTTGCCAGCGAAAAGGATCTGGTTTCTTTAAGACAACAATGGAGTCGAGTTTCTCCGGAGTTTCCATTTCCCCCTGGCAAAAGGGAGATCTAGATTTCTCACGAGTATAGGTCCCAACAATTTGTTTAGTGGCTCGATCATATCGAGATTTGTTTATGTAGAATATGAATGGTTTTCGACAGGGGTAATTGGAAGCAGGCCTTGTGTTAAAGGAATATCCGTTGTAATCAGCTTTATTAAACCAATTGAGAAAGGTTCTCGAGGGCATCTCTAATTCTCTTGGGGACAATACTCCCTTGAGGACTTGAACCACGTAGCCCCATGACACAGAGATGGACCAGTATCTGGTTCTGTCATAGCAGATCGATTGTTGCATTATGCTGGCTGAGTCTATCTTGATGGCCTGCATAAGGTGTCTGAGGCCTTGTACTCGGTTCATTCGTGGGAATATGGGTTCCACAACATCAAGGTGGTGCAACGTCACTAACGGGGTTACGGGATGTGCCGCCAAGAGGCCTAATAGGTTTCCATGCACATCATACTGCGTAATAAAGATACACAAAGGTTAGAAGCAAAACCACAAGTCATTTCCATTCAAGAGTATTGATAGCGTTACCTGATGAAACCCAAGTTCCTTGGTTAGTGGCACACCAATCTCAGCCATGCAAGCTTGAATTCGGTCATCGCTGCCATATAAACCAGGGTACCGTTGAATGCAACGATCCTGTGTTTTAGCCAGCTCCTTGGCCAGAGGGTAGCTTATAGCGAATCCTCCCCCACCATAAGCCATGGAATAAGAGAAGTATATATTCTGAGCATGACTCTCAGATGAGCTCCCAATATAATAGAAGTGTCTGTGGTCGTACTTGGAAAGAATTCTGACTACATTATTTACCACGAACACTGTGTCATCGTCTCCCATGACGAACCACCTTACATCCTTCATCCCAAGCTTTAATGTCTCTGTCACTACCCTTGAAATCCTCAACGCAGATCTATCCCCATGAGGGTTGGTATATTTGAAATTGGAGCTGTCCCCAGAAATTCGAATCTGGGGCAGCCCCTCTTTACTTTTAGTACTTACTTTTTGATCCAACCAAACTACCCCTCTAGTTACATTAGGCTTCCACCATATCTTCATGTATTCTTGTCTAGCCTCCCACAACTTGGACGAGGCTGCTATGGCAAAAACAACGTCTTTAAGTTGGGTGTCTTGCCTTGTAGACAACAGAGGGGGCGGTGATCTAACTTTGTGGTTCTTTTCTTTTGTTTCTTCATCTGCCTTTTGTTTCTCTTCATCGCCGATGGTAGTTGAGGATGTGCTAGTCAGCTGGAGGTGTTTTGTGGTGACGGCATCTAAATGGGGGGAGCAATCTTGACGCTCATTCTGAAAGAGGAGGAGGCTGGAGGAGTAGATGATGTATAACATGATCATCGCCAGAATGAACCAGCAGATGATGCTTCTAGAACCTGTCTTGATCATGTGTTGCTGGCAGGCAGAGTACGTTTGGTTCCAAGGTCAGTTTTTCTCCTCCACGGCCTTTCAGGTGAAATTCAGAATTCATCGGATCAGAGAAGGGTTACTATTTTGTTTTTCAATTTTCTTTTTTGGCGCTTGGAGGTGAAGTTTGTTGAGGCGGAGCCGAAGTTGAAGCGGTCAAAACAGAAAAACTTTTATTATTATTATTATTATTTAAAAAAAAAAAAAAAGGACCAGAAGGCAGTGAAACGCACTGAAGTTGGGGGATGTAAGAGCTCAAGCCCGGACAATGGTGCCACTCCTTTTGGAAGGTGTGAGCTGGCCGTGAACTCTGGAAAGCTCTGCCAAATTAATCAGCCAAGAAATGTCCATTGGGGGGCTTTCTGGGGAGACTAAAATCCCGATTCTTAGGTGGAAAAGTGACCTCTCTTTCGGATCTACTATTTGAAAAGGGTTTTAATTTCTTAACGCGCTGTACATATTTTGTTGCTCAATCAATCCATTGGCCGGCACCTTGCTGTTTCTAATCAAAATCTCCGGAACTCCCTCCTTCCCTGCCTGTCGTGACAATAATGCAAGGAAAATCGGGGGGTATCGGACTCACTTTGCCCGTTACAGATGTGTTATTGGAGTGATGGTTATGGTCGTCGAGGTTGATGGAAGTACAGAAGTTTGGGTCACTGCCTCTCGGCTGCCTGTAATCTCAGTCAGCAAGGACATGCAGATGTGCCAATATGCGACCCATCTGAATTGCGCAGAGTGGCAAGTAGAAGCCTATGGCGATCCATGGCATTGGCGAGGCACGGACACAATAGTGCACAATTTCGTCCCAAGATTATCTAACCCGCCGTCCCATCAACTTTTACTCTTTGACTTTCAACCATCCAAAATCCAAAATTCTTAAAATATTCCCGAATTCTCACATAGAAAATAATTAATTTAAATATAAGATGAAAAATTGTTTAGAATTTTGAATATATGGGGATCTAGAATTAAAAGGATATAAGATGATGGGACGGTCACATGAGAGGAAACAGATAAGACGATACCAGGAAAGCCGTTCACATGGGTCATGGGACGTTGGGACCTCAGGCGTCTCTCTCCCCTTTCCTTTCTTCATTTGTTTCTGGGTGGGCACTGGATTCAAGGGATTCTAATTCATGACTAAGAACTGAGTGAGACTAGCTCCAGATTAAAACCCCACTTCTGCTCTCTTTCGTCAAATAGATTTGATCCCAATTCCCATCATCCCTAAGCACCAACTTGCTCAATAAAGAAGCCTTACCGTTGTCTTAAAATGTATCTCTTCTATATTCCTAGTGATTGTTGAGAGCTCACTTTCTTGATCTATCATTCAGTTAAGTGTAACCATGAACTCAGCTTTTTGCCCCCGCAAGCTGACATGGCATCATTTATTATACGTCAATTAACTGTGGAGACGTACAAGACTTTTGCTTCACTTACCGCAATAAAAATATTCTGTTGACTTTCATTCATCACTACTTTTATATCATGAAAGCAAATAGGCGTTGATTAAGAAGTGACGAAGAAGATAAGAAAATAATGTAGCAGAATAAATAGAAGCAGGACGTGCGGAATCATATATGGAATGGACCCATTACGCACGTGAGAGAGAGGGAGGGAGGGAGGGAGGGAGGGAGCTGCTTCATCAAATCCTAGTTGGCGAAAGAAGTCCAATACGGAGTTAATTAATACTCTCACATTTAAAACGCAGGAGTTAGTTTAGGAGTTCTTTTTTTTTTTTTCTTTTTTAATGTAACATCTATCTCCTTTATCACTTTTATTTATTATTTTTTCTCAAATTACCCTATTGAGTACACATAATATATGAAATCAACAGGAAGTAGTTTTCAAAGTAAATAATTAAAATGAGGTATTTTAAGTAATCCAACATATATTTTTTACAAATAATTAACTGACATAATTTGCTAAAATCTATGCGAATTAATTTACAAGCTCGTATATTTTTGCCTTCAGTGAAATTTATGACTTATTTTTTCAATTTTCAAAACGAATAAAAATAAGAAGGAGAGATATTTTTGAGGGAATTGAAAAGATTGATGATAATTGATGAGCGAAAACTGATGGCTTTCTCCTCATAGGTAATCCTTGGAAGTCGACATCGTGAAGTTGAAAATGTTGACGAAGTAGCTTCACCTCAACAGCACCACATATCACTTGAAGCACATTAAATAGGGTAAACACCGTCCACCATATGCTCCATGTTCCACCAAAAATATACATACAGACATACGTGTGTGTGTGTGTGTGTGTGTGTGTGTGTTTTTGGTGGTCGTGTGTCGTCCCCATCAACCACACCACCCCGGGGTCCTGTGCTCCCATCCCTAGTCCCTCCCACCGTGTCTGTGAGCCTGTGATCCTTTTTTTTTATTTATCCAAGGAAAAAGAAATGCCACCCTGTCATGTCCGTTTTGTGCCACGTGTCTCCCATGCTCTCCCCACACCTCACCTCGGCACCTCTTTTTCAATGAACTGGTAAAGATGGGAGGGTGATATTTTATATTTGAGGTCGGGGTGATATTTGGATTTCTTGTCCTGGGCTGTTATCATCTCTCAGAGTTGCGCTTCCCCGACAGAGAGACGAAAACAGTATTGTCCTATGAACAACTGGTCGGTAGATCCTGCAAATATCAACGTGGCACAGACGACGCACACATTCCTCCTCCTTCCTTTCTCGCGTTGCTTTTTCTGCTTGCCAGCCCGCTTCCAGTCTGTCACTCATTTACCGCGACCTCATCAAATCATTGCAGGCAAGCTTCGCCGCCACAAGACTGAAAATGAAATCATTCCTTGGTATTTTTTTCAAATGATTTCTACAGTGACCAAAATCCTGCGAAGGATCATGTAACATTTCGACTCGCGGGGATACAATAATTGTCCCCCTTCCCAAGTCATTTCTAGAATATCATCTCCCTCCCTCTTCCTATATATCCTCCTTCCTGCGTGCTCAACTTCTTCAGGTATTGTCAGCACTTCTTCAGGTACCTCAACTTCTAGTTTCATTTTCAGTTTTGAACTGCGCTCGTGCTCCTCCAATTGTCCTTATCCCCGGCCGAGCTCAGTTGACGAACTCTCGTCACGTAACTTTTTCCAATCGATACTTGTTCTGCATCACGCTTGGCTTGTCCGCTTCCTTGTTTGGTGACTATAATTAACAATTAACTACTCTCCTAGACTTCAACCGGTCGAGTCGTCAACATTTATCCATCGGCTTTCAGGCTTTAAGGATACTCTGCATTATGCAGAGCTTCCATCAATTATCAGAGACAGTAATATCCCGCAGACACCGTGCTGCTGTTATTTTTCTTGCCATAATTAGCAAATAACCCACGCATTGTCTTCGTCTCCGCTTTAATGTATTGCTAAATTATGTCTCTCTGTCAATCGCATGCCCCAATTTCACTTACCGTGGACCGAGCTGCCTTGACTGATATTTGAGATGCTTCCCATCACTCTCCGGAGTCCCCATTACAATTAGTGACCCTGCCCCACTACACTCCCATATAGATGCTACTCTCTTGAACTTCAACAAATATGCGTGTGATAATCCAAGTTGAATTATTATCACACTTAATAACTTCATCTAATCACCGGGATTCAAAAAAGGGAGAGATGATATTCGCATTCTGATTCATAAACGCATTGTAACAGGGGCGAGATGGAGCAACCAGAAAAGCCAGCAAAGCAATCATCAAAAAGGTCATCATTTCCCAGAGACCCTCGCGGCTCGCTCGAAGTGTTCAGCCCTTCGTCCTACTCGACGGACAGCCCATCAGACTCGCCTTTCCGATCTCAGCCCAAGTGGAAAACTTGGATCGAGCCACCAACCGCCGCCACCCACAAGGATGAAATCACCAGCACATCATGGATGGCCCTCAAGGACACCGACAGTCAGCCCCCGCAGACTCTGTCCGCCATTCTTAACGAGCGACCTGAGCCGACCCCGAAATCTCCGTCCGCAGTCAATTTCGCCGGAGACGTGGGGACGGCAGCGCAGAGAGCCGCTGAGTGGGGATTAGTGCTGAAGACAGACACGGAGACAGGGAAGCCGCAGGGAGTGGGTGTGAGACACTCGGGAGGAGAGGAACCGAATGCGAAGATCGCTGGAACTTCGAGAAGGAACTCGAACAACTCCGTGAGAAGCTCCGGCGAATCGTCGGACGACGGAGGAAAAGAATTGCGGGGAATTCCGAGAATTTCCGAGGACCTGAAGGATGCGCTGTCGATGTTCCAACAGACATTCGTGGTCTCGGACGCCACCAAACCCGATTATCCGATCATGTATGCGAGCGCCGGATTCTTTAAGATGACGGGTTACACTTCCAGGGAGGTCGTTGGGAGGAACTGGTAACATAGTCTAATTTCCTTTTTGTTTTTAATTAAAAATTTACATTAAAATATAATTTTGTTTTGCAAAACACGTTCGTATGTCTGCATTAAAAATGGTACTATAGTGATATCCGTCGGCTCATAACGATCAAATAAGCATGTTTCTAGTTTACAAAATTAGAGATGCGGTAATTTTTGAAAAATGGGAGGAGATAAACGCTCTTTGAGGAGGGAAAATGTAACGGTCACGGTAACTGAAATAACGAAAAATGGTGGCGGGTGGGGCCAGTCGGTTTTTACAGGGAGCGGATACGGATCCAGAGGACGTGGCAAAGATAAGGGAGGCGCTGCAAGCAGGGACGAGTTACTGCGGAAGATTACTGAATTACAAGAAGGACGGCACTCCTTTCTGGAACCTCCTCACTATTTCCCCCATCAAGGACGACGATGGCAAAGTCCTCAAATTTATTGGGTCAGTTCACTCTTTCTATTCCTGATTTTAATTTTAATCTGTGGGGTTTGGCTGTTGGGACCAAAAATTGACCCTTGCTGAATGTGGGATAAGCTTGATGAAGATGACAATGCCTGTGAATGGAGCTAAATATCTTATAGGACACGGACAAACCTAAAATACATGATGGGTCACTTCACAGTAGTTTGCTTCCTTGTTTTATTGGATGCTTATCTTCTTTCAGCCAAAAAATTAGCCTGGAGGAACGTGCTTATCCAAGTGGTTTTCCGTGCACACATTAAAGATTTGCTTCTCTTTTTGGCTGAGGAACGCTTATGCAATAAATGTGTCAGTTAAAGGACTTGCCTTTCACCCAAAAATATTTAGCTCTATCCATAATAACAGGGGATAGTCTTTTTCTTTCACAATTCATAGATGTCTTCTTAGGAAGTAGCTCGTCTGAGCTTGAGAAAATTTTCAATAAACCATATTTATGTTTTAATATCATTCAACAAGACAATAAGTTGCATAAAGTTTGTGGATCACAAAACAAAACAAAACTGAGCAGAGCGTAGAAGATTGTTGTATTTGGTCTCTTGCGGAATCGAGAATCCAATTTTTGATTTTAACATGAGGTTGGATATATGCTCTTGTATTTTGAGCCAATGGACTCTATTGTTACGTGCCTGTCAATTCCTGCTGGCTGAGATTCAGACCTTGACATTGATTGCTATGGACCTTGACGTAACTAGACAGTAGAGCTTAAGCAGAACCAAACGATCGTGAATAGGGTATTTGTGTGAAATTATTTAGTCATTAGTAACAGTAATACTGTGGGATGCTTCCTTCTGGCTTATCTTTTGTGGGTGACTCTGACAGAATGCAAGTGGAGGTTAGCAAGCATACGGAGGGGTCCAAGGAGAAGACGCTGCGTCCTAATGGATTGCCCGAATCTTTGATTCGATATGATGGTATAATTGGACACATCCGATATCTTTCAGTTTCACTACTAATGTCATCTAATATATCTTTCATCATGATACCAAACTTTATTCTGTTCTCTGAACTAATAATGGGTTTCTTGGAAGCTTATTGAATTCTTCAGAAAGCAAAACCGCACAATCATGAAGGCGAAAAACGTGTCTATCTCATCACTAAATAGTAAATACTAACATATCTTGTTTCACAGGTTCATGTGAAGAAAAAGGAGTAAATAAAACTAGTGAATTAAAAATAGATAATTCTTTAAAAAAATTATTAATAACAAAATCAAACGTGAAACTCGCGCATCTTTGTACACATGGAACTTCGACGAAATTAATGAAACCACAAGGTCACTGACACATTATCGCATGGGACGATCTGTTAATTTACGGCAAAGTATTGAGGGGGTTGGCTGGTTGTATTTTGATGTAGAATCATGCAAAAGCTTTATGGTCGAATGGAAATGCGTGATGTGTTTGCTTATTCCAGAGTTTTGAATACAGTCAAAGACTACTGAAACATAACGAACGCCTTGGAGAGTGAAGCAATCTATTTACTTAACGCTTCTAACGAAGATTTCAAACTAATTTTATAACCAAGAAAAATTAAGAATATTCTAGCCACAACCTTACCTAGACTAACAGCTTTCAACTGCAGCTCGTCAAAAAGAGAAGGCTTCCACCGCAGTATCTGAGTTAGTGCAGGCAGTGAAGCGGCCCCGAGCATTGAGTGAATCAGGAAAGCGTCCATTGATCATAAAATCTGAAAGTGGTGAAGAACAGAGACCAGAAAGTTTGCCGAGGAGGAAATCGGAGAGCCTTGCTACATTAAGGCCAAAACCACATGGGGGGCATCGAAATTCAATGCAGCAAATCAATGAGCTGCCTGAAACGAAACAGAAAAACTCCCGTCGTCGTTCTTTCATGGGGTATGGTTATTCCTCATTGCGTGATGTTATAGTGGTTGCTTTTTATATTAAGCTCTGCAATTTTATTGTTTAATCTGGAGCTTGTATATGATTTGACATCAGTGCATTGTCTTTCTAATCTTCAGGTTCATTAAGAAAAGTCAGCGCAATGATGAAAGATTTGGGGCCAATGAAGTTGTCGAGGGAAGCTCTGAGAGTGAGGAAGAAGATGAGAGGCCTGACAGTGTTGATGATAACAGCATACTGACACAAAGGGAGAAGCGAAAGGGTCTTGATCTTGCAACAACACTTGAACGTATTGAGAAGAACTTTGTCATTACAGATCCAAGACTGCCTGACAATCCCATCGTAAGATTCTTATCAGTCGTTTTCCACTTACAATAGTGATTTTGTACATTGGATTTTTTGTTATGGGAGATGAGGATGTGTCACCGGCAGTGTTTGCATTTGTTATTTAGATCTTTGCATCTGATAGCTTCCTAGAACTGACAGAGTACAGTCGTGAAGAAATTTTGGGAAAAAATTGCAGGTATGTTTTGAAGTAATCTTCCATTAGCATGGGAATGAATGTCAAAACAATAACTCATGTATACACTAAAACTGGAAACAGAAGTGTCCATGTGTAATTTGAAAGTCATCTGCATTAAGCTATCTGGTGATCTCAGGTTTTTGCAAGGGCCTGAAACTGATCCAGCAACTGTGAGAAAAATTAGAGAGGCAATTGACAACCAAACAGAAGTTACGGTGCAGTTAATTAATTATACAAAGAGCGGTAAGCTTTTTTAATATCATATAGGGGAGCCGTTTTAATAGGCTAATCTTATTATGTACTCTTGTTTTAGAATTTTTCTCAATGCCTACATATGAAATATAGCAATCTAACGCTGAATTTCAACCTAGGCAAAAAGTTCTGGAACCTGTTTCATCTGCAACCTATGCGTGATCAGAAGGTATGAGTTTTTTTTTTTTTTAATAATCATCTGGAGGTGTTATTTTTTAAATAAAAAAAATCTTCTTACATAGCTTCTGTTTTGGGTTATTGTTGTTTCCAATTCACCTACAATTTCAACAGGGCCAAATTGAAACATTTATTCTCTGATTTACCTTTTCTCTTTTCATTCTTGGTTTAACAGGGAGAAGTACAGTATTTTATTGGTGTTCAACTTGATGGGAGCCAGCACGTGGAACCTCTTCACAACTGTATTGCAGAAGACACGGCAAAGGAGGGAGAACAGTTGGTATGGCCTCTTTCCAAGTGCTACAAGAGTTTAGAAAATATTAACTTATTAAATTATCTGTTGGTTGCAAACACAAGTACACATCCAATTAGAAGCTCTACATTTGAAAGTCTAAGATTGGCTGTGTTTTTCCAATGAAACTGATAGGCCTCTTTTATGACCAAGGAACAGCTTGCATATAATACTGTCTTGCATTATTTGTAGTAATACATTGTTTTTATATCGTTTTGCTTTGTCTTCCTCTTGTTCTCATCAAGCTTTTCCCTCAGGTTAAAAAAACTGCAGAAAATGTTGACGAGGCAGTGAGGGAACTTCCAGATGCAAACTTGGTAATGTGTCTTAGTCATCTTTTCTGAAGAGCTTTTGAATTCATTTGGTGACAAGAACTTCAGACTACCTGCAGAAACCAGAAGATTTATGGTTAAATCATTCAAAAGTGGTTCTCCCAAAACCTCATAGGAGAGATAACCCTGCTTGGAGTGCTATCCTGAAGGTATTGCTATCGTGTTGTAAGCTATGCCATGCTTTATGGTCTCTGAAGTTATTGATAGTTACTGATAGAAGATTCAGGAGTTAAATGTACAGCATTGGTCGTTTGAAATCTATGTTGATTTATCTCACTATCTTTATTTTTCCATGGTATTCGTTGGCTCTCTAGAAAGCTGTGAAAATATTATATATATGTATATATGTTTGTCTTTTGTTGAAGATTTTATTTTTGTGAGTTGGTAAGCATGACATGAAACCCTACTAAAACCATCTATGCTCTCATATAGTCCCAAGCATTTGGATTTTCTTCCTATGCGCTTCTTGATATCTCTTGCAAGTTACTTATGTAACATTGGTTTTGCAGATCCTAGAAAGTGGAGAACAGATAGGCTTGAAGCATTTTAGGCCAATCAAACCTTTGGGATCCGGAGACACTGGCAGGTTGTTTTCCTGTTTCTCTTTTTTCCCATCATTTTCAGGCGTGCTTAATGAGAGTTAAATCCATTGCCTGATAAAATGAATTATGTAACATTGAAGAGAGAATCAAAACACCTAATTACACTTCCGCAGTATTTGGAATGTCTTTCAGCATGGTGGGCTTAAACCCATCAAACGCATATGAACTAGTGTTTCCCCCTGGCTTAAAGAAAACAAAAGGAGCTCACAATGTATAACCTTAATGAAATTTTCTTCACTGCTATAGGTTACAAGAAGTTTATTTCTGCCTCATTAGTAGATGAATTGTCCTCTTGTTTACTGGCTTGTAGTGTGCATTTGGTGGAGCTATGTGGAACTGGCCAGTATTTTGCCATGAAAGCTATGGATAAGGGTGTTATGCTAAATCGAAACAAGGTAATGAATATCATCATTTAATATTTCTGATTGTTCCATTTTACTGCTAAATTCTGGGTGCTTTTCCGCTGGAAGTTATTTCATTCCAAGTATACTTCATTCGCTTTACCTTTTGGTTATGCAGTTTAATTCCCATTACTTCAATTCGTGTCAACGACGACTTCTAAATAAAACTTCACTAAAATATTGAAGTTATTAGTTTAATTTTAACAATATCTAAAATCTAAATGGATTTATAGTGGTACTTTACCCCCTTTTACACTTATGGCAGGTGCATAGAGCTTGCACAGAGAGAGAAATCCTTGACATGTTGGATCATCCTTTTCTTCCTGCATTATATGCTTCTTTTCAGGTTCGAAAGTCCAGTATTACTCTGAAAAAAGTTCTTATTAATAATTAATGATTAAATAAACTAGTAGGAGTATTAGGATCTATTATGATTACTCAATCCCTTTTGGGATGTCTCTGTAGAGGATTGCAATGCCAATATGTATCAGGCTCTTCAATGTTAATTTTTGCTTTACAGAAATGACTTCACAATGATTTTTCTTTTTGTTTTTACATTCATTTTCTGGACCCAGCTAGCTAGATGCCCTTATTTCCTAGTTAGAATCCAAGTTACCAATGATGCCTTCATGGAGGCTTTACTATACGGTGAGTTTGTCAATTTGACAATTCATCAATCTGCAGACCAAAACGCACGTTTGCCTGATAACTGATTATTGTCCCGGTGGAGAGCTGTTCCTGCTTCTAGACCGACAGCCAACGAAAGTTATCAAAGAAGACGCAGCAAGGTAAAATATGCCTACTATTAAAAACAGACTATTAATGCCAGGTTCTTTTGCTCATTAATATTACCCACTATTAATGTTAATAATCATTTTACAACCCTTGACCTTATGTTTGTACACTGTCCATGAACTGACATAATGTATTAATGTTTATAGGTTTTACGCTGCTGAGGTTGTGGTTGCGCTGGAGTACCTACATTGTCAAGGTAGGCTCTTTCTCGTTATTAATTCTGTATGATTCCCTATTACAAGATGATCCTTTCTGTTTTTAACTCATGAAAACTGTCCTATAACTCAGGAAATGTTTAGTGGACATTATTTTTCTGGTGAAACTTCAATGGACTTGCCAGGCTATATCTATTTAATTATTTATAGTTGTACCAGAAAATTGTATAAGCAAACTGAGGCATCAAACATTGCCCTCCAGACAATTCTGTGAACCTTTGCTCCGAAACAAACTTCCCTCCTTGCAAAAAAAGTTTCTAGATGCATATTACTACATACCACTGCTAGAGCAAAGTTGAATTAATTATATTATTTGGTGAAAATTTATAGGAATAATATATCGGGATTTGAAGCCAGAAAATGTGTTACTCCAGAGCAATGGCCACTTGTCTCTGACAGATTTTGACTTGTCATGTTTGACATCCAGTAAACCACAGGTATCTTGATGTCCAGAGCTTCGGATTATGCAGTCTCTATCTAGATTAGAAGCGACACTTTCTAGCTCTGACTGCTGAAGCAATTATATTTGATTGCACTCATTTGCAGCTTTTAATTCCACCTTCAAATGAAAAGAAGAAACAGAAAGGACAGCAGGCTCCAATATTTGTGGCTGAACCAATGAGAGCGTCAAATTCTTTTGTTGGCACAGAAGAGTACATAGCTCCGGTTTGTGATTTCTGGATATTATGCAGCAAACAAAAATTGACAGTTCAAAACATGCATTGCTCAGACGTTTGTTTTATAGTGATTGCTCATATCGCAACGTTCCACCAGTATACTTTGTATTGCACTGTGCATTTGTTTTGTCAATCCTGCTCATGAATAATTATCAACAAAAAATCATTTTACGCTGCAAAATTTTGAAAATTTTGAAAGTTTGTGAATCAAATGTTTCAATTGTATAGCTCGTGACCTGCCTCATTGTAATTGACAATTCACTACGCTGTGCAGGAAATTATAACTGGTTCAGGCCATACCAGTGCCGTGGATTGGTGGGCTCTTGGTAATTGTTAATAGTTAATTTTTTTTATATCAAATGAAGGAAACTAAATCAGTTTCTAAATTTCAACCACATAAAAGAAAATTGAAATCATTTATATGTGTCCTGATGTAGGTGTTCATAGAGAAAATGATATGTACATATTTGAAATTATAAGCACCACAAAGATTTACCTGATTTCGTTTTTTCAGGTATTCTTCTATATGAAATGATGTATGGATATACACCGTTCAGGGGAAAGACAAGACAAAAAACATTTGCCAACATTCTTCACAAGGATCTTAAATTTCCCAAAAGTAAACCGGTGAGATAACTCTTACTCTGCCGAGCAACCTGTACGTTACTCTCAATCGATGCATGCAATAGTTGCCCTGGCCTTATGACGTGTTGCTATGCTGATCCCACTAGTCGGCAAATGCATGCATTTAAAAGCATTCCTCTAATTTAGTGACGAAATGTTTTCAATGAATGTTCGATTTTAAGAACTGTTATTCTAGTGTGTTTTCACTGAGTAGGTGTATACATGCACACGTCGGAGTCCATTCTTGATACAGGCTTGATGCTGGAACAGAACAGTTATTGAAAGATTGACAAAAAAAGTATATGACAATATTGGTCTTGTGTTAATTGGAATTTAGTTATTATGCAGACAAGTCTCCATGCAAAGCAGTTGATATACCGGTTGCTGCACAGAGATCCGAAAAACCGATTGGGCTCACAGGAAGGAGCAAACGAAATAAAGCGTCAGTCATTCTTCAAAGGCGTCAATTGGGCCCTCGTCCGTAGCATGGTAACATAACAACCTTTTAGGACTTAGATCCTCTAGCATGGTAACATAACAATCTTTTAGGACTTAGATCCTCTCTTCCACATTGCTTCCAATGATGTCCTTCAACTTCAACTTCAACCCCTGGTTTCAATCTTTCATTTTTTTTTTGACGTAGTCTGACAATTCATCTCTTGTTATCAGAGGCCTCCTGACCTGGACGGTCCTCTCTTTGGGGAAACTAAAGATGAGGAGGAAGTCAGAATTGTTGATCCTGCGCTGGAGGAACTGCAAACAGATTATTTCTGAAAGGTTTCTCTATCTGTTCCTCCCTCTGCTTGAGCCTAGTTAGACTATTTTATTAACCAGTAACTTTCTGGGTTTGTAGACCTCAGCTTGAAAGACATGTCTCTGTCAAGAAACACGTGATGAGCCCTTGAGTTGTTGAAGAATGGAATTTTATTCCAGTTGTGGGAAGGGCCTTAAATCTTTTTTAATTTATAATTCGTGTGAATGGAATGCAGCTGTAAATATTTTGCCATATTGTACTCCCCTGATCACTCTCCACCATGCGCTCCTCAGAAATGGCCTTTGATAGCACACGTAATACAGCGCTTCCTTCAAAAATGCCGCTAAAATGCAATGCTGAAGGAAAGATCACGTAGTGATCTTTTAAAACGTATTACCAGGGCCTTGAACATGGCTAACGCCTTCAACATATGTCTAAAACGACACTATCTTGAAAGATGATTCATTTTTATGCCGATAATAATATTTCAAGAACTTTTTAAGCCTCAACTCTCATAATATAAGCAATAGCAATAATCAGAAAGCGTCATCATGGGTAAAGATGCGAGAGTACGACAACTAGTGTCAGTCTGTCTGCTCAATTCCAAGGAAAGGAACTGATCAGTAAGTGTTAGAGCCATGTCAAATGATTGGTCGAAAGAGAAATTGAGGCTGGCATGAATTTTGGATTGGGAAGATTTCCATCTATCACAACCCAAGCCATCTTCTGATCGGGATTGATTACTGTCTCAGATAATATGAATACTCGTTGTTTATTTGGGAAGTCATGATAGAGTCTGCGACGCGACATGAATCAGAATTTAATTTAAATCGATGCAGTACAAAGTGCTAGATAAGGTAGGGTTCGCTGTTTTGAAGTAATTGCTTGAAGTTTGGTAGCAGAAGGGCCAGAGAGAGTTCATTTGTAGTAGTACCATCTGGAGTATGGCTCCACTGACTCAGCTAATCCACACCAAAACGATTGAATGATTACAAATGCAACTAATGAATTAAACCCAAGGCAAGCGAGTATCATATGACCTTATGACATCAGCGATAGCTAAGAATGTATAGAGGCTAGTCGTATGCAGCGACCCGTATAGTTGCGAAGTGTGATTGGCACTTCGATGAAGAAAGATGAACATTCTTGACTTTCACACAGAAAAAGACCTAAATGCTTGTCAATCCTCGCAAATCTTTGTTCACCGCAATTATACGCCAACCTTCCACTACTCGAATTAATGATTTTTTTCACCGACAATGACCCTTTTTGTGGAATATTTAGCTTAAAGAGCATAGTTCAGATTGACACGACGTCTCTCATTATTTGATCATTCGGAAATGTGGACAAAGATTGATTGAAGTCGAGTGGCCTGCCAAATATCGTGCATTGACATCCCAAATGAGGAGAGATCAGTTTAGAATAGAATTTAGGAGTGATTAGAAAGAAAGGGACAGTTGCGGACGTCTATATCCATTTCCCATTTTCTCTGACCCATTGCTCTCTCTCTCTCTCTCTCTCTCTCTCTCTCTCTCAAGTGAACACTATCAAGCATTATCTTGATTGAATGATCACGCATTGCATTCTATAAGGACTTGACGCAGAAAGGTCAATGCTGAAACGCATTATTCTGCAAGAGTTCATGTTTGATTTCTCTTGATGTTACACTTTGATGTCCGTAGAATTGAAGATGAAGCTGGAAAGAGCATATAATTGATTTCAACGAATCTGATCAACGAAACGAGTGAGGAGGAGATAATGTTGGGAAAAAAGAGACGTTTAAAAGCGTAATTACCACATGAAGAGTACTGCTGAAACATCACCGTCAATGATGGAAGAGGGCTGGGGATGGATCTGAAACTGACGTGCAAAAGAGGGTAAAGTGGAAGGTAATGCAAAGGTCAAAGAAGGAATGATGGCGGGGGAGAAAATGTTGACAAGCTAGGGGTAAGAGAGCTCTGAGATGAGGGACGCATACCAGTTTTGTTGTCTCTTATTCATTACACTCGAGCGTATTATCATATAAAAACACGACATTCATGCATATCTTATTATCAAGAAGAATAGTTAATCGAGATGGTGCGTGCATGATGTGAAGGAGAAGAGATATCTGTTGAGAGCAATGACAAAGATGCATGATAGCCATGGGGACTACACTTTCAACTCCTTTACTGTTCCTATCTGCTCCCTCCTCCACCCATTCTTTATCTTCTCACATACATTCCCTCATTTTAATTACCCTTAGCCCAGCTATTTGTGATTTGCTTCCTAACAGTTACTATCAAGACTAATTTTTCTTTGTTTGAATCAAGGACAACAAACTCAGAATTATAATTCACATGTATAATTGTAAATATGAGGTTAGGCGTGGTATATATTGTCAAATTTCGTTTCCTAATTAAAGGTGTAAGCAAGGGTGTGGGTCCACCTAATGATTTTTAGCTAAGGGTTAATAATTATATATAGGCAATTAATTTTGTGGTGTCGGCCGCATTGCATAATTAATTCGCAAATGATACGGTGTAGGATCTATATGCAATATGAACAATTAATAAGCGGGAGGAGGCAGCGGGAGGAGAGCAGGTTGGGTACGATTTGGTGAGAATGAGGGGCAATATTTTGGTACAAAACTTTGGGACCACGTCTGCCAAAGTGCCTGCCCCCTCCCTATTCATTAGCACTTGCGTCCGTCTTTGACCATTGCCGAGTTGAGCACTTTGAGCTTCAAAATGATTCCAAATAATCAAATAAGCTAAAATCACACAGTACCGATCGAGCCCTCTAGTTACCTTTTAAGTCTTATTGTCTGCTCTGTCCATGGTCAGTGCGAGAGTTGCTTTCGCAACGTGTCTCAGCCTCGGCTTTCCTTCTTCTAATTACTGGTTCCCTATTTCCTATGCCATGATGGAAGCTTCAAGCAATATTTAATTGTCCCGGCTGAAGCAACGAGGTCAACGTTTCTATAAAAAAGTATGACTCCTGCTCCTCGTCATCTCTCTCTCTCTCTCTCTCTCTCTCTCACTCCTTACTTTTTTTTTTCTTTTTTCCTTTTAAGAAAAATTAATTCAAAGATCCTCATAATTGTACTCAATTTTTCAAAAGGTCCTTTAACTTTTTTTTATTGGGTCCTTTAAATTTGTGTCGTTAAATCAGTTAGTCCCTCATATTTAAAATTGTTAAATAGGGGCTAACAGTGTTAAGGATTTTGTTTGAGAGCATTGATGTGGGGAATGCGAAGATTATTTTGCCAATTTAGATTCTTGCTCAAATTAAAAGTGCCACGAGGAAAAAATTTAAAATGAAAAAAAGAAATTTTGAAAAATGATTGAAGATGGTGGGTTCAAACTTCAAAGCCATTGAAATCATGGAGTAGCTATGTCACTGTCAGTGCCTCGGGCGGGAGGATTCCGATGTTCGTTTGAGAAAGTAAGGCCCAATTGGATCAACTTCAACCAGTCAATGATGTCCTTCAAAGTTTGGCAGTTATGTTCATTTATATTTTTTAAATTGCAATCGAACCTAGAATCTTCAAAATAAAACTAAAATGTGCCAGCACCATAATTTGGTAGGATTGAAGGTTATTCAGATGACCATGGTTCTCATTATTCGGGGGAATAGGCTAGCGGTTTCGTTCTTCTTCCTGCCTTCTCGCATCTGGGTCATCAAATCGAATTCGAAAAGTATTTTTTTGCTTGTGCTTCTCTTACATTTGGGTTGTTAATGAAACTATAGTCTTCGCCAAAATTTTGTGGAGGAGGTGATAGCAGTAGGGAAAGATAGAGGTTATGTAATGCTCTTAATAACATTATCACATAATCCTCCACACAATTTACTAATTAAAATAAAACCTCTTTAAAAACACTAGGATCCCAATATAAAATTTTTAAAAATCTCTTAAAAAAATCATTTACCTTATTCAAAATAGCATACAACGAAAGTACTAAACATAAACTTATCAAATAGCAATTTAAGATAGCCTAATTCACACAAAAAGTAAGGCATACACCACGGCATATAATACAAAGACCACAACTGCACGCTTTACATCATACACTGCGACTTGTGGTCTTTCATTGATGCATGCATTGGGGCACACATATTAGAATTTGTTGTCAAATTTTAAATTCTGATACAAACTTTGAAAGTGTGCCATTTTCACATCCAATGTCCGATTAGGATGATTTAAATACCTACGCAAAACTTATTTCAAAATTTAACCAATGACACTAATTTCGTTTAAAAATGATATCATGTTTGAAAGTTGAATACTCAAATATATTTTGACCATTTTAAATTAAAATTTATCACTTGAGAATTAACATTTGAAACCACAAGTCATTGGCCAACTTTAGGGCCTTGACCACATCCAAATGAATAATAAACACCTAGTTGAATAGTTATATGCAAAATATAACACACACATGCATTTGGCTTGAAAACTACCCATTATACACTTTGGGCATATTTCACATTTATCATTTCCATTCATATCCAAGGCCAAATTCCACACATACATCACACATACCACCATTCCATACCCACATATACTCAATCACCAGCCCGCACGGTCATTGTCACCATTTATACACATAAATGCATAATGGGCTAGGATATCAAATTCACACAAACATACATGCATTCACAACTATACACATGTTTATGCAATACATTTGTTCCTATGGCAACTTATACACTTAGTTTACACTATTAACCAGCATATTCATTACACCATCTTACAATGGACTTGTTAGAAGAGTCTGCACTCAATTCATTTACTTTCCCTTTGCTCCACTACTACCAGAACCTCAAAATATAAATAAACATATGTGAGATTAAAATTTCAATAAGCAATATAGTTCATTTAATATCTATGGACTATGATAGTAGAAACATCATGGACTATGATTTCTCTCATTTCACACACTTCTGATAAAGGTATCGTTGACTCCTAACTGCTCCCTAACAGGTACTAAAGAGTTGATAGATTGCCCGGATGTCCCATGATATAAGTCCCAATATAATGCTATTAACCAGAACCTCAAAATTTTAATAACCATCTTACAATGGACTTGTTAGAAGAGTCTGCACTCAACTCATTTACTTTCCCTTTGCTTTACTACTACCAGAACCTCAAAATATAAATAAACATATGTGAGATCAAAATTTCAATAACCAATATAGTTCATTTAATGTCTATTAGTACAAATAACCATGTCAAAGTAATAACACACACACACACATCAAAACATATATATACTTCCTCTTTTAATGCTCTTGGATATGAAACCATAAGCTCTTCTGGATCAATCACATTTGATTTGAGCTCATTTCGATAGTAAAAACACCTAGCCAAAGGTAATCTATTCCACTTATGGACTATGATTTCTCTCATTTCACATACTTCTGATAGAGGCATCGTTAACTCCTAATTGCTCCCCAACAGGTACTAAGGAGTTGACAGATTGCCCGGATGTCCCATGATATAAGTCCCAATATAATGCTGTGTCGAATCACTTATGGTAACAACATGTATAATGCTGTACCGAATGTTTTATGGTGCCAGCCCGACCATATAAATTTGTTTACACACATCTCCATACACACACATCCATACATTCCTTGGGTGAACTCTCACCTCTTATGATCATATTTTTCACACACATTTCAATGTTTTCTTTCCATAATTTCCACCATACGCACGCATGCACGCACATGCATGCACACACATTTATATAGATCAATCCAAATTAGTAATAATTAAACTTTAATTTTACAAATCAATTTACTTCTACACAGTTATATAAGTTAATAAATATAATAAATTATATAATTACCTCAACCTTTCTATCTAATAGAAAGAGTTACCCATGTTACACAATCCCTATTCGAGTTTCTTTCGCTATTCAACTCATCGCATGCAAAAATCTACACCAAATTGGCAAGTCAAGGTCAATTGTCTTATTGACTAAAAGGTGCCAATTATAGCAATTTAACACCTAATTACTACCATTTCCTTTATTCATACTCGCTAACACGTATTACGACTAATTACCACTCACTACAAGCACTAACATTAACTTAGTCAGATTTCTCTCATTACTCTCTCTCTCTCTCTCTCGAAACTAGGTCAAATCGAGCTTATAACTTCAAAACTCTATCATTTCGACTCAAACCAGTCGTAGAGTACTAATTTAGTCCCCGATGACCTTTTTATTATTATAGGATAAGAAATTATCTCCTTAAAACTTTTAAATTTAGTTTTTCAATAGTTAAAACTAAGAGAAACTAGGGTAGAATCAGAGATTGAAGTAGTACGAGACTTGCCAGATAAGTAATAGGTCAAAAATGTTATCCTTTCTCCTGAAACTTATTGCCCTAGTAGAGATCTCCTTTCTTCTCCACGCTTGACCCCTCATTTCCTCATTTTCCTTTTGTTTCACGGGCTAGTACATGAACTCACTTATCATAATTCTACACCATGCGCCATGATGCACCCATCCTCAGCCGTGGTGTGTGGTACAATAAGAGAAATTCTTACTATACTCACACACTCTACTTTGAGACCCCATTCTTTCACTCATATCTGTTCGTATAATATTTCAGTGAGTCAATACAATACTTCATTATCCAAAATCCTAATCTCACATTAAATTATTAATTCACTCCTTAATCAATATTAATACAAAAGTTAAAAATTCGGTATAGGTTAAAATCTGATAGTAGCGATGGTGGCAGCAGTCATCAGATGTCCTTGCATTTAGGACTCCAATATTTTTTATTTATTTTGTTTACGTGGCACTTTTAACCTGGGCAAGAATCTAAGTTGGCAAAATAATCCAGGTGTCCGCCACATGAGTGCTCTCCCACAGAATCCTTAACACCGTTAGCCCGTATTTAACAGTTATAAAGATGGGAGACTAACTGATTTAACGGCACAAACTTGAAGGACCCGAAAAAACACACAGAAAAAAGTTTAGAAACGTGATGAAACTATGAGGACCTCTGGATTAATTTTCCCTTCCTTCTATTTTATTTCCTGGAATCTCTTGCCAAGAGGAGGGGCTATTATATTATACACTAACTAGACTCGTCTCCACACAGCCACTCACTTATACAGAGATATCATTCTCGTTCTCTGGCTCGCTCCTAATTTTTCTTCTCCCTTCAGTCACCCACGCTCCCGTTCAATCTCATCCCTCTCTACACGAATGCTCCATGAATCCGCACGCCGTCCCCAGGTTATTCTCACACGCTGCCGACTTCCCCCGGAATGTGCACTGGCTGGACTCCGGCTCAGCTCCGGCAGTGGGTTGTCAGTGCCGACCGGAGTCGGAGGTGAGCCACAGTAGTTGCAGCAGCGGGTGCAGCGGCCATGGATCGCCGAGTTCTCTGACGAGTTACCGGGGCGTGATGCAGAGGAGCATCAGCAGCCACTCTCTGCAGAGGAGTGGGGCCCACCAGCCTGTTTCTGCTTCACTCGCCGACTTGCTGGAGGAGGCTCAGGTGAGAAAAGTCTACAGTGCCGGTGATTTGCAGGTGCCTTGTGCGAGAAAAGTTTATATATGACTAGCTCGACCGCTTGGTTGGCCTTTTTTTTTTTTTCCTTCTTTAATGTAAAGTGATTCATGATAATGAGCACGTGTTGATTCTATTGAAACAGAGGATGAATGTAATGCAAGAGAGTCGGCGTTCAGAAAGTCCGTTGTCGAGCGAAAGTAGTATGATCATTGAAGGGATGAGCAGAGCGTATCCTTATAGCCCGGAGGAGAAGAAGGTCAGGATTGAGAGATACAGAATCAAGAAAAATAAGAGGAACTTCAACAAGAAAATTAAGGTTTATTTACTGCTGCTCTGATTCTCAATGTTTTAAATCATCTCTATGGTTCTCGACCCTTAATTTGAAGTAAGAGGTAATTAATTTGAATGTTGTTGCGGTGGGAAAAGTATGTATGTAGGAAGACATTGGCGGACAGCAGGCCGCGCATCAGAGGAAGATTTGCGAGGAGTGAAGAAGTAGAGAAGAAGAGAGAGATGATTGAGAATAATGAGAGTGGAGAAGAGGAAGATGAGAATTGGACCACGTTTTTAGAAACCTTGGTGGTCGCAAATCTTGTCCAGGAACCTTGAGGGGTGGACTGTTATTATTGCTGCTGATCTGATGGACGAGGAATAAAAGTATGTGTGCTGAGCGAGTCTCGTTACATTTGATGCTGTCCTCTTTCCCTTGTCGAAATCGAAGTCGGCAATGTGGTAAAATGTAAATGTAAGGGTCACTCTTTTAGAGTTGGATATAATCTAAGGGTCAATTTTTTTCTTTTTTAATATGATTTCCCTTGACTCTTCTTGTGCTCTTTTGACTTTTTTAAATCACTCGGCTGGCACCGCATGGAGTAGAATGTATTGTATTGTATATTGTTATTGAGTGATTTCCTTGCCCTCAATAAATTTGGAGCTAGACAGCAATTTAGGCAATATTAGGTGAGCAGAAAAATATTTGTTTTAAAAGGGTGAACAATGCATTTTTTAGGTATATTTTATGTTTTCTTTTAATTTTTTTGTTCATATATCAAATATTGCCTGAATCTCACTATTTTATGAATTTGTCTCCAAGTTTTTCATCATTCAATCATTTTAAAAAAAATAACAATTAACTTATTTTTGAGTCAGGTTCAGAACGCCAGTAATATGCCAAGGAATTCACCTAATTTTTATCTTCAATTAGAGCTAGTAATTTGCAGTTAGCCAAGCTTAATCTGGCTCATCTGGATTCAAGGTAGGAAGATACAAAATAACTTATATATCTAATATAGCCAAGTCTAATCCTAACAATTTGGACCCTTGGAGTTAGTATGAAAGCACCTAAATTGTTTTTTTTTTTTTGCTCAATCAACTAACCTCTTTTCTAGTCCAAACATTCATTTGAGCCATTCATGCTTTGACCCAATTAACCTGGCTAACCTAATAAGTTGGACAGGTTAGCTAGGTTACTTTATCTCTTGCAAATTTTTTTAAGAAATTAAAAGAAAAATAATTCGCTCAGGTCTCGTCTCAAACAGTCTTCACTTTAGACCATAAAATTGAAATACCATAAAATTAAAATCCCTAAGTGAAAGAACTCTGTTTACGCTTCTTTGAATTTTGGAAAACCCTTGCAGTTGTCTCATTGCAGACCTCAACGTCAACCTATCTCTTCTCGCCATGGAGGATCTTTTGAAGTTGACCTCTACCTTATCATCGCTTGTTTTCAAGCACCTTGGTTTGTTGCAATGCCTCCCTCATTACTCACTCTCACATACTCCCTCCAGTTCTATTCATAAAGCACCTTTTAAAATGTTCATTTAGTTTCATTTATAAGTTGTAGTGCATTTTTAGGTAATATTTTGTTTTAAATTACTCTTTATGAAAGAGAAAAACATGACATCATTTTTAAAATTTGTTATATATAAACATATTTAGAATTCTACATATTTTTATTTTTTGTATTTTTTAATGTTAATATTGATGAAATTGATAAAAATTTATAAGAGTATTTCACCATTCTCTTTCATTTCTCACCGTCGGCCTTGTTGTTGCCAAGAAGATTGAAATTGAAAAGAAGAAAAAGGAGATGTTGGTTCTGACTTCTGATCATTGAACCATTAATCCTTAACCTACTGTTTTGACCAGTTTAATGACAGGTTTGATTTTTTTATCTTAAATTCAATTTTTAAATTTTAATAAGAAACAAATTAGTCTTTGTAGTATAAATTAAAGATTGGATTGTTTCAATTTAAAAATTTAGCAACTAAATCATTGATTAAGGGAAAGTTATATTTTTTCATTATTTTATTTACAAACCAGTATCCATTACAACTATTTAATATAAAATTTATAAAAAAATATGCTAAATTTTGATCTACAATTCAACTTAGCTGTGTTTTATCTGATTCTATTGTTATGAAAAATATACAATATAATTGCATTGGAAGATTTTCCATGTATGTTTATAGCACAGTATCAAAGATGTATATTACTTTTAAAATATGAAGACATGAGAAGTATTGTAACATTTTTAAATAGTATAGTCTATTAAATATTAATTAGTCCATTTTACGGATATAGTCATCTATATAAGTAAATAATCAGTGATGAAAATGCAATAAAAAATATTGATTTAAAATATATAGTAACTATATAATAAAATTATGCTAAAATATATATTTAGTCCTTTAACTTTACATAACATTTTATTTTAGTTCCTTAATTTTATAAAGTGTTTTTTACTCATTCAACTCTAATATTATTAGTTTTATCCCAACAAATTTTTATTAAATTTTTAAATATTGACAAAATATTTTTAAATATTGATATATTAAGTTTAATTTTTTTAAAATAATAATGATTGACATAAAAAATAATCATATGAAATTAACAATGTTAGGGTTAAAAAATTAAAAAGATACTTTACAAAATTAAAGAATCAAATTAAAATTTTATATAAAGTTAGAGGATTAAAAGTGTATTTTAATCATAACATTATGTGACACACACACACACACATAGAGAGAGAGAGAGAGAGAGAGAGAGATTTTCGTTTATATCTAAGGACGCCCCAGGTGGTTCAATTAGACAGCAGCAATATAGGAGAAGATTGAAATTTCTGAAAAAGTGGCTTAAAAAGAGTGCAATTTTGGGGAGGAATAGGCCAATTACTTAACCGATGAGCAGGTAGATATATAAAGATAACAGGATTTTACGAGCGATGTAAAAGATAAATAATTTTACGGAAACTTTTGAAGCGAAGGATACATTGATTATTTTAAAAAATTGCAACTTAGGAGTGAGAAATTCAAAATTTAAATAGCAATGTAAATGATAGAAGGATCATAACGAGAGAACAAGAGAAGGAAGAGAGAATTGTATAAAAGCTGACATAGGAGTGGTGATGTTAATTAACCTGGTCTGGCCATGTGAAGAATAAATCAGATAAAAAGAGTACGTATATACCGCGTATGAAATGAAGAACATAGAGATAATAGGAGGGGAGAGGCATGCAGTTTGGTTTGGTACGAAATGGGAGGAGTTCATGAGAGGATCTGCCTTTTGATTTGAGGTGTGAAAGACATTCATGACAAACACGCCGGAAGGTTAATAGGGACGTGACTAAAGTCATGAAGGCACTGAATCCTAGACATAGTTAATCATCTCAAATCAAACATTGCTGCGGCCAATTTTAGCCATTTTCTGTTGCGCCACCCCAAAGTCTCAATCCATTCATTATCACCCGCTTCATCAGCTTCTTCCTCACCATAATTCCATTTTGTTAGAGCCAACCAGTCCCCACTTAGAACGAGGTCAAAAAAAAAAAAAAAAAAGTCCCCCACAGAAGCACGCCTCCACAAACGCTGCTAGTTACCCCACTAACTTGTAATTTTATTGCTTTTTCATGTATGCAAATGAAAAATTCTTTTCTTAGCTTTCAACACCACATCTTTCTTTCTATCTTCGGTCACTCTGTCCAACATACATATCTGCGGCCAACTTGGGCTTCCCAAAACATTTAAAACCCCTTTCAATGTTTTATATTCGCATTTCTTCAAAAAGAAAAAAAAAAGTTCTTGTCTGGGAAAAGTATTGCCAGCTCTGAATATAGGCAACTAGTTGTTTCGCGAGGTGAGCTGGGACCCCAGTGATTTAATTGACCCAACAGTGCCTACCTTCCTACATTTAGAGACGGCGCACACACACACACACACACATATATAGATATGTATATTGACGATACAAGTTAATTAAAACAAATGATAGGCGATGATTATGTGGGATTATAATATATTTTGTGAGAATTTTGTATGATTAATTTTTATCATGCATGGAGCAATTCATGCTAAAAAAAAGTCCATGTCTTGTACCATTCTGTCACCGCGGCTTTTGTTTGAAAGGCTCTCATAAAATGTTCTGTATTTAGCTTTCGACGTCCGTCCGATTCTCCCTCTCTCGATCGACACGCTAATTGGGTCTCTCTTCTTAATTAGCTCTCCACCGATGTTCTCCTGTTGCCATTGTTTATCATTGCTGTATATCCATAAAACCAGATTTTGCAGGCTGCCATGCACTAATCAAAATTCATGGATGATGAGATGTTCTCCGACTACTTACGTACACGACAGCCAACGGTGAGAAGAGCCTTATAATTTTACACGTTTCTTTATCACGGGCTTCGCGTATGTTTGGATAACGTTTTTAACCGATTATTTAAAAAAATTAATTAAAAATTAAAATTATCCAAACATTCATAAAATGGGTTAATCGATTTTTGAGCCAAAAATTAATTTTCTTGGGAAGTTGAGAAACCGAGCATTAGTAGAAAAGCTAATCAAAAATGTTGAAGAAAATTATAAAGAAAGGCTCAAGAAAAAATTACAAGGCAAGTACATAATTTTAAAAAAATAAAACTAAACTCTCTTCTTTTCTCTTTTTTTAATAAAATTCAAATTTTGCGTTCTCAAAAAATTAATGTTCGATATTTAAAAATTAAATTATATAGTAATTTATATAACTAAAATTGATTCTGATTAAATAATTCAAACAGCTTTAATTCTGTTAAAATTAATTTTAGAAAAATAGTATCCAAACAGATTGTGTTATAATATAATCAATTATGATTAAAAGCTATTATTTAATCAATTTTTTTCATAATCTATTATACCCAACTGAAATCTAAATGGACACTACAAGGGCAATTTTGACTTCTTTTGAATGATCAAATCTTGGCCAATAAATAATAATAATTGATGATCAAAAAAATAAAAAGCCAAAGGAAAATGAATCCCAACATTATCTTGTCATGGATTCAATTATACATGATTGCTTGAGATTATGATGCATGGATGCATCTCACCCCTCCTCATTTTATTCTAAAGTTTAAGTCTTATTTGATTCAAGGAGAAGGAGGGGCGATGGAGGAGGTGGTTTTGGAGGGGAAGAAGAGGGAAAATTTTTTAAAATTTTCTCTCCCCTCCCCTCAACTAAAGAAGGCTTAGATTTTCTCTAATGACAATATTGTAAAAATGCACAACATTTAATATCTTTCATTTGTTTTATAAATAAAGTTCATCAAGAAGCAAAACATTGTTTCTTGCATTTACAGACAAACTATGACTCTAAGGAATAAAAAAATAAAGACACTTCTATCAAAAAAAATAAAAAAAGACAGAGTACAGTGAATTACTCATGACCTACGTATCAAGAAAGAATACATGTGTGTGTGTGTGTATTTCCATTCAAAATTATATTGTCCACCTGCAAGGACCAGATAACTTGAATGTCAACGAGCATGCCTGGTTTTGAAAATCTACTTTCTCGGTAAGATTGCATGAAGAAGCAACATTACGATCCGAGAGGAAGCATGTAGAGGAAAGCATTGTCAAAATGTACACAACA